GGGAAGCGGGGCTGGGGGGCGGGGGTTGGTTGCTTCGGTGCCTTTTCCCTGCCCCCGCGTTCATCAGACCGCCCCGGTGTAACGGGGGCAAAGGCCGTGACAGCTCCCGCATCACTGGCGGGCGGGGGCGCTTTCCTGGGCTGGGGCTCCCCTGCCCTCTCCTTGACTGCAGGCTACTGGCAGGGGCAGGGAGCGGCCGGGTCTCATTAGTCACTCCAGGTTTTCACCTCCCAGGTTAGGCGGGTTGGTGGCTCAAAGGAAGTGATTTGCAGTGACTGATCGGGCACCAGTGAGTAATGCTGCTGAAATTTCCTCATCCCGCTGTGTAATGGGAATCCTCCCTAGGGAGCTCTCTCTCCCCCTCCCCTTCCCGCATGGCCTTCCTCAAGCTCAGCACTACTGGCACTAGTAGCAGAAATAGTAGATTTGTGCCCCAAAGATACACCATGTATCAATCACTTCCTCGCCTGCCCCCTGAAAAAGACTCTTGCAATATGAGGCACACTCATATGCAACCAAACACAGGACAGAAAACCTTTTAAATCTCCCCTTGTGTTAGAAAGATGCAAACCTGGCACCCAAGGCATCTCCTCCCTAGAGCTCCCTGCAAATAAAATCACCCTTCTCCTCTCTCAGTCCCAAATGGGGTTCTCCAGTAAAGGAAAATGCCATTGTGACTGCTCAGCAGAATCCTTTTTTTCCTTCGGAGAATCTAGTAGCACTTCTCTCCCCTCTCCTGCCTTCATCTCAGGCAAGCTATTTCCAAATAGTCTGCATACTTTTCCTTATAAGGAATATCTCCCTTGGATCTATATGCGGCTCCTTTGAACAAGTTAAATAAACGTCCTGCTGGAGAGCAGCCTCTCATCCATTTAGCCATATACAGAGAAAGAAAGAGACATCTGATCCAGATTATATACAGACTCCCTCCCTCTCTCACGCTCCCCTATATTTTTAAAGTTCCTGAGCTCTGCATCAAGCTAGATGATACAACTGGATGTCTATGCAGGGGCTGAAGTACTTTTACTGGTTTTTAAAGTAAACTAAATGCAAACAAAATATTTGTCTTCTTTCACACCCACAAACAGTTCTTTCGTATTTGCTTTTCAACTTCCAAAAGTATTTTTCTTGCGCTTGAAATCCCTAGTCTGCTTCATCACTTGGAGAAACCCATTCCTAATTTTATTAACTTTACAGGTTAATTTTAAAAGCTGTTAGAAGAAGATGCCACCACTTTGGAAGGGCAAAATCCTATTGAGCAGAGATGAGATTCCCTCAGAGGGGACTGTATCACACAGCAACAACCAGTGGGATCTGGATGGAAAGCTGCAGAAATGCTACACTTTTATGCATTACATACATGGAACTGTTTAATGCTTGTCCGGGGCAGACAGGTGGGTGGGATGGCTGACTGGGAGGGGTATAGGCTCTCACACTATACCATATAAAGTACTGAGCTATATATAACCCCCAGCTTACTCTCTGGATCTCTGTCCTACAGACTGCAGACCAAGCAAGTATCATCTTCCGAGCTGATTTTTACTGAATTTCTCTCTGACAAGTGAATTATTAGTCTCAAATATCTCCAGTTGTAAAATCCAGGAGAGGGCCTTCAGGTCCTACTGTCCTGAGTTATCACTGCGCATCTTAACCCGTCTAACCTAATACACGTTGCAGTGGGTACCTCTGCATATGTTAAAGACGCTCAACTAAGAGAACAGTGGTCCTTACTGGCCGTGGCCAATGGAAGGACAGAGACAACTAACTTGCCATTACAAACACCTTTACAATACTCAGACAGAAATATTTTTCTCCATACCCACCCTGCAACTCTCTGAATGGACCCCCATCCCAAGCTCTGTCTTCGGAGGTGAGTACACATGGAAAGCACTGTGCAAGTGAGCAGAAACCCGTCAAATGCTTTTGGCTGTGTGCACCTCATGCAAGGAGGCAGTGTAGTCATTCCCCCCCACAGGCCAGGAAGCACCTGGAGCCTGCCTCAAGCAGGGCCTTGGAGGGCTGCTGGCCAGAAACACAGGCTTCTCCTGTGCAAAGGGGGAAGGGGCACCGGGGAAAGTGGGAAGAGAAGGTGGGGAGGGGGGTTGTGCCTGTAGGTGGGAGGAGGGAAAGGTCCAACTTACATCGGTAGCCTTTTTCTCAGCCAGTTCCAGCTTTTCCTGGGCATCTTTAAGGGACTCGGAGTATTTGTCCAACTCATCCTCAGTGCCTTTCAGCTTCTTTTGCAGAGCCACCAGCTCATCCTCCAGCTGCGACGTGGGTGGAGAGGAGTGGGGAGGGGGCAGGAGTGCAGCAGGCAGTGTGAGCGCGCAAAGGAGAGGTGTGGGTGCAGAGGGACAGAAAAAGGACAGAGACAGACGGAGAAAGGGAGAGAAAGAAGGGGAGAGCATTAGATTCCCTTTGGCTCGTGACAGAGGCACAGTACCTTGGTGGCATTCTCGTCCGCCGAGAGGAGGCTTTCCTCAGCCTTGTGTAGCTCCTCCAGCACCTGGTCCCGCGCATCCTCCGCCACGTGCAATTGCTTTTCCAACTGCACAATGTCATCCTCTATCTAGGCGCGGGCGGCCCGGCGAGACAAGAGGGAGACAATGCACAGACGCGTCCCTCCGCCGCTCCCGTCCCGTCCCGTC